ATAAAAACATTGTCTCTTCAAACGTTACTCTTGGATGTCCAAAGAAAACAAGGTCCAAGACTTAGTTTTCTAAGTATCACTATTATATTCTATTAAAGAAAAATATTAAGAAAAAGTTCTTGACATCTTGTATTTAATAAATAATATTGTATTCTCAAATGCATAAAAATATATACATAATTATAAAATATAATAAGTACTATAAGCTCTAGACAAGTGTTTAAAATTACAAATTATTTTATTTAAATACTCCCAAAATGAGACGATTTATGTAAACGCCATCTAGCGTGAAGTAGTTTTAATCATTTTCATTAATGTTTAGAATGGTGTACAGATGTCGTAGAAAATAAATAGTTGTTTGTTTTCAAACAACAGTATTATGACTAATTTTTGCAAAAAATCTTTAGGATAGTTCTTTATATGTCCATTCCTGTGTAAAAACTAGTAAGGTGTAATTTTTATAGGTACATATAACATTTCTCTATTAATTAATATGGATTTCGAAAAAAATCATAGATTTATTTATAACTCTTTTTTTTAAGTCAAATTTACGAAAATAATATTATAAACGTAAAAATTTTCATTTCGTATAATAATAATGAATTTATGAAACAATAATACATATATACCTAATTATAATTTTTTATTTGATGATAATTTTTTACATAGTATATAATTTTACAATATCCACCATAATGTTTGTCAAGTTATATAAGAATATATATATAAACAAGATAAATTAAGATATTGCAAGATTTTGTTTATTTTTTTTTATTTATAATTTTATGCACCTTATAGTCTAGTTGAAAATTATATTACAAGACACAAAGCCTTCCGTATGTTAGTATAGAATCTAAAATATTTCGTGAATTGTAGAAGTAAAATGCCTTGTTTAAACATAAAAATAACTAAAAGCTACCAATAGCAACCAATAACCAAAACGAATACATATAAACAACAATAACAAGTTATTAAGGATGCCACCATAAAATCATTCGAGTTGTAGTGTGCACCAGTGTCGTCGTAAATTTTATAACTTAATCTACTTACTACTACCTCAACTACTACAATAACTTAGAACTACGTATTACTTAACTCAAAATAGACAAATATATGATTTATTTTTTGAGAACAATACATTTGTACATTATCTTTTGTTTAACAGCCTCTATAACAATATTAGTTTTTACCAAATCATTAATATTTACTTATATTTTAACACGTATAAAATATTTTTTTAATATTATTATATGTATACACCTAGTAAGCCAATATTTAAGTCTCAAATTTGAAATCGATACAAAAATTATCAATTTAATTGAAGTATAATTTCTTAAAACTTGTCATGACTCATAATGATAATTAATATCGAGTTTATGGTCTTTGAAAGTTAGTAGATAAGAAAATTGATTCGACAAACTTATTCGTCTTTTCTCCACACTGTACTAAAGATTATTATAATTCGTCCAACAAATAAAATCGTTAACATTGGCTTAATATTAAACAATTACAGTGTGAATAAAGAATAAAAAATATTGAATCTTGAAATTCCTGTTTCAGATAATTTAAATGTCAAATAAAATTTATAACATATAAATAACTAATTCGAATTAATATGTATATCTAAAAGAAGATCACGTCATAAATATTAAGGAAATTATTTCAAAACCAAATTAACTTAACATCATATGTACGCATTTTAGATTACAAGATGTTATACCTTCCTCTTTTTCTGCTGCTTTTTTAATACCGATAATTTCGGCTGAAACTTCAAGTTTGTTATTCATTTACACATATATTTTTACCTTAATTAAAATTACAATAAAACAGAACATATAAACTTTAATGAGATCTTACAATTTCACGAGTATTCATTTAAAAATGATATTAATGTTTTTCGGATATACTACGCGTACTTATTTTTGTAAAAACTACATACTTACGACGTTTCGGCTACTTTGCAGCAACCGTGATCACGGACAGACGAGATATAAATTTGGCAATATATATATTTTAAACATTATTATTAATCATTTTTTTGATTCGTAATCTTAGCGTTAAGTTTATAAACACTAATAAAATTGATGGATCAGTCAAAGTGAAAGTTAGATGAAAGACACATTATATAAATATATGATACAAATCTCGTCACATAATTCCAATGTTAGAAAATATTTTCGTATGCAATTTTGAAATCTTTACAATATGTTTATAAGAAATTACAAGACACATTTGAAAACTATTAGCTTATGCTGATTTAATAATTGCTCTAAATATTACTTCAAGTTTTATTAAATTATATTTTTATTTGTTAAATACATATTTTACAGTTATAGTGTAAATTACAAAACAAAGGAAACAAAGTAATGACGTTTATAACAAAGGAACTTACAATATTTCCGCTTTCCTACATAATGACCTTGAAAATGTTTCTCTTTCCCATTTTGTATGGGCTTAGCACGAGTTTTCATCGTCACTACATACGTATAGTTCCTCGTTTCTCATTCAATACTACGTTAATACTATAATGTGAAGATTTATGAATGACAAACTGTTAACGTGGAGTGTGTAGTGACGATTACTTTGCAGTGAGCATAGTCTCCATTATATTTTATACCTATATATATGTACATATATTTTAGTTCTCGATATCTTAAAGAATGACTAAACCTCATTTACTTAATATATTATTATAATTGATATTATATAATTTCATACATAATATTTTATTTAGTACTTTATGTTTTAAATCTTCAATAAAGAACTAGTCGGAGGCAAAAGGTCTTTGGTCTATGGAAATATTGCTTAGATTTCCATATATTCTGTACTTTATATAAATTTGTGATTAGTTTTTGAGTTTTGGAAGAACATACAGACGGATAAATTGAATTTTTTAAGGTCAAAACTGATTTCATTTATATTTTAAAGTATATTAATGTCTTTTTATTTTTTCATTAATATTTTGATTATATAATAGTGTGCGTTCTTGGCCTTAAAAGTTGACCTTAATCACAATAAACAACCTTCATTCATGTTATTTAATTTGTATAACCATAACTTTGATTCTGTTGATAAATAGAAATTTAAAAAATAAATTGACTTAAAAATATCGTTTGCGGTATACTAACTTTGACAAGTAAAAATAAAAAAAAATATTTGAGGCTAAGAACACTACTCATTCATCCAATATTAATAAATAACAGAAAAAAGGTTCGTTATTTTTTTTATTACTCTTATTTTATCGTACTAGAGATATAATAGTAATAATTATTAATTTCATAGGATTAATAGCTTATCTAAATAATAAATTGTTTATTTATAAATCACATTCTAAATCTTGGGTTATTGACCATTAGTTTGTTGACACAATATTAAATCATTTACTTAACGACCATACTTTATCATAAAGATAGCAAGTGACGTAATTCGATACTTTTGTTTCAAAAAGATTGTAATCATAACAAAATATCTAATTAAAAGGAGGTTTTATATGTAGCGAAATAAAATCCGCGCGTTCTTAATTCCTTTACGAGCAAGCAGTATATCAAACAGTCTCATACAAGCGCGGCTGAAAGTCACACGAAAAAAACAATTCAAAGCGTGCACAGATAAAATAATTTACAAAAAAGTAGGTATTCAACCAAAAAGTTTTTATATATATAAATAAATAGATAAAGAATATACATTTGATGTAACGATAAACTGTTTGAAATGGAACATGTGATCGAAGGTAGTGAGATTGTGCAAGTGAAAAATATTGTTTTGGAAGATAGTTTAAAAGAGGTTGACATGGAGGCGGGAAGAATATTGGGACTGTTGCCTGTACTTATAATATTATTGGTGATATTTATAAGGATAGCTTTCGTCATATATAAAAGTGCTGGTGAGTTTTTTAGCAATTTTAATCCTATTTTCATGTTTTTTTTGCTGTCATATTCCTAATTAATATGACATTTATATTTTGACGCTATTTTAATAATAGATTACGTGAGAAATTCGGGAATTAATATGTATATATATAAAATTATTTACGTATAAAAATTACTGTGATAATTCAATTTAAACGATATTTTGGATTATTTTTTTTATACCTCCATTTTTTTGGACTTCAAATACTATTTTTAACTAAATAGTTTTTTTTTATTATCTATATTTAGGTGACATATATTTTTCAAATAAAAACAATAATTTATCTTGATCCCACTGTCATATGTTTCAACAATTTGTGTCATCTTTCGTGATTCCAATTCGACTTGTTTTGTCATATTTTATCTTTTAAAAATAAATTTTACTTTTTTTCTAAACAAAATAATATATTTTATGGGAATATACTGTCAATATATGATTAATTTTAAAATATATTTTCTGTTCTTAAGATTTCTTTTGAATATTACAAATATTTCTTAGTAAGAGTTTTATTAATATTTATTTTAGTTAACTGTCAGTCTAAAAACTGTTATAATTATAGTTTTAATTTATGAATGAAAACTGCAAAATTGAATTTTATATATTAATTTTAATAATATTATATTATTTTATAATTATTAAGAAACTTTAAAAGTATTGAACAGTATTTGGAAGGTCAATTGTATTTTAATTGGTTAATGATATTAACCTTACGCGGATTTCCGAACGTAATCCAATTATGCGTCACCTAGACAGAAGTGGTTTAAGAAGATTAAAGATTTATTATACAAAAAGGTTATATAACCTATGTCTGTAATACGTAATATATATAAATTAAAAGTAGCTATTTAATATTTAAAAGCTGAATATATATATAAATAAATACATTTTTTATCCAGAGTTTCTGTATTCTTAGTAAATTATTGTACAAGTTTTTCTCGTTCGTGTTATAATTTATATGAGAATCGTTATATTTTTTTTGTACCTACATATATTAAAGATTCATAACCGGAACTGGATTCAAATATTGTATTGTGTAATGCTGAGCAGACGCTGCGAGGGTTAGGCCCTGTTTGTTTTTAGATAGAAGCGAGTTGGACGATCAGTTGGACGATCAGTTGGACGATCAGTTGGACGATCAGTTGGACGATCAGTTGGACGATCAGTTGGACGATCAGTTGGACGATCAGTTGGACGATCAGTTGGTCGATCAGTTGGTCGACCAGTTGGACGATCAGTTGGACGATCAGTTGGACGATCAGTTGGTCGATCAGTTGGTCGATCAGTTGGTAGATCAGTTGGTAGATCAGTTGGTCGATCAGTTGGTCGATCAGTTGGTAGATCAGTTGGTCGATCAGTTGGTAGATCAGTTGGTAGATCAGTTGGTAGATCAGTTGGTAGATCAGTTGGTCGATCAGTTGGTAGATCAGTTGGTAGATCAGTTGGTCGATCAGTTGGTAGATCAGTTGGTAGATCAGTTGGTAGATCAGTTGGTAGATCAGTTGGTCGATCAGTTGGTAGATCAGTTGGTCGATCAGTTGGTAGATCAGTTGGTCGATCAGTTGGTAGATCAGTTGGTCGATCAGTTGGCCGATCAGTTGGTCTATTTTCATTTAATTTTCTATGGTCATATTTATATATATATTATATGTATTTCTCATGAGTAGTAAATATTTTAATATAACTATATATTAGTATTAATTTCTATGACTATTCGTTAAGTCTATGTTACAACATAATTTTGAGGGTAGATGACAAATGACAAGTTCGACAGACCTAGAATCTTATCTTTTTATTACACCATTAAATACTTATTTAGATATGTATTACTTGAATAATAAAGAACTTCAATAATTAGAAAAAAAATTGAAACTCCTAAAAAGATAAATTATTTTATTTTTTAATATGTTATGCCACTTATAGCACTCAAAAATTAAATATAAAATTTATAGTTACTGTCAAACATTCAAAATAGATGTCAAATATTTCAAAGCTAACAGGATAATAGGATAATAAAAGAACAAATCCCTACTAATATTATAAATGCGAAAGTAACTCTGTCTGTCTGTCTGTCTGTTACGCTTTCACGCCTAAACCACAGAACTGATTTTAATGAAATTTGGTACAGACATAGAGTTGACCTTGAGAAAGAACAGTGTAGTTTTTATCACAGGCTTTTGTAAGGTTCTCTTGGAAACGCGATATAACCGAACTCCACGCGGACGAAGCTGCGAGCGGAAAGCTAGTAAATATGTAAAATTATAGACAGTTTTCTTAATAATAAGAAATCATAATAAACAAAATAATTTTTGCTAATTTATTTGATATAGACGTTTATAGGCATTTAATTACAAATTAATTATTTTTCTGTCATAAACATTTTTATTCTAAATTGTCTTATGTATATAGTTGAAATATATAACCACAAAATATCGATTTGTTAATTATAATGAATTTTAGCGGTTATGTTATTATAACTAAATATTATTGCATAATATTCTCTATATCTATATATTAGGCAGACCCTGGCTAAAGCTAGGAAATTGCCAGGTAGAAGAAGAAGAATACTGTCTATATTATTTTTAATATAAATGCGTTTATTTTTCGTCGCACTAAACAAAGTAAATATATGAAACTATCCGTAATACAAGAACATAAGTTTTTTCGGATACTACGAGTTTTATGTTATTTTATAATTACATATATAAACTCAACGTTTTGTTTCCTAAACAACTGTGACTACTTTTTCATCTCGTCTGTCTGTGATCACGGCTGCTGTAAAGCAGGGGTTTTTAACCTTTGGGACGCAAACAAATTTCTTCATACTAAAAATGGCGAACGAATAAAGTTTAAAAACTCTGCTGTAAAGAAACCAAAACGTATAGATTATGTGACACGAAACCTCACATCATTCCATGTATTCACGGTGCGTGTGTCGGGTCCATCGTTGTAGTAAGAGGAGCTTCAACAGTGACTGGGACTTGTGATCCAGGTGTAGGTTTAATATATATAGAGAGACGAAACCTCTCATCATTCAATGTATTCACGGTGCGTGTGTCGGGTCCATCGTTGTAGTGAGAGGAGCTTCAACAGTGACTGGGACTTGTGATCCAGGTGTAGGTTTAATATATATAGAGAGACGAAACCTCTCATCATTCAATGTATTCACGGTGCGTGTGTCGGGTCCATCGTTGTAGTGAGAGGAGCTTCAACAGTGACTGGGACTTGTGATCACCACGTATCCTAAAAACAGTCCTAGTCAGTGGTGGCCTAGTGGTTAAAGGCCCGCCTCTCGTTGCCGAGGGCGCGGGTTCAAGCCTGGCAAGTACCAATGTGATTTTTCGAAGTCATATGTACTTTCTAAGAGTATTTAGACATCACTCACAGACGGTGAATGAAAACATCGTGAGGAAACCTGGACTTATAGTTTCACAATTATAAGTTTGAAATCACCAACACGTCTTAAGCAAGCGTGGTGATTAATGCTCAAACCTTCTCCATGTAAGAAGAGGCTCAGCAGTGGGTACTGATAGGCTGATGACATCCTAAAAACATAGTTTCATTTAAATGAGTACAAGAAATCTTAGATATCATTTCCGTATACATCTAGTTATTTTTAAGTCTCGGGCACGAGACACATATCATGTGACTCTCTTATTGTGAAATATTAAACAGATAACAGTATGTACTGAGAACCAATCATGAAACGTTTTGTTTCCAATTGAGATTTAAAGTATTTTAAAAGCATCAGACATTGATAACAAAGATATATCTATGAGATATATATATATAAGAAAATAATGCAGAATTTATTACTGAAGATATATATAAAAAAATAATTGATATGCGAGCTCGTTTTAACTCTTTTTAGTAGTTTTTACGTAAAAATAATTGTCACGAAATATACAAATATAGACAGAGTATAGAAGGAAACTTCTTGAGTTCCGTTTTCATGATGAATAGGATATTACGTCATATCCTTATAGCATCGAAGGTCTGAGTTTATAGATTCAAATGATATACTTAGAAACCTTTGATTTTAATGTAAGTTACAATATACATATACCTTTCCCATATATATTAATGTCGAAAATTTTCAGCCATTTGTAAGTGGTGCTATCCAAAAAATTATTTATATCAAAAATAAATAATAACAAGTAGATTTTATCGAGATTAAAATGTCTCATGACAGAGATTCTCATCTCGTCTGCCCGTTATCACGGATGCTGTAAAGTAACCGAAACGTCGGGAGTATGTAGTTTAAAAAATAGTTATTAGTTTCATTTAAATGAATACTCGCGAAAATCTTAAATATCATCAGACATAAAGTTATTAATTTTGAAGATTTAAACTTGACTAAAATTCGGTCAGAGTTTGACACCAGTCGAATTGGTGTCTATTAATTTTTTAAATTACGCATATTTATTAAATTCTACATATATTTGTAGTAATTTTATAACAAACACAATATTTTTTCATATTTGTAAGTATTCGTTAATATAAATACTAGGTATAACTAAATTTTCTGTATATACATTCAAAACCTATTTTGTATGTACAAAGTTATATCGCCTATTTTTTCATAACCTTTCATAAACGCAAATTTTAAGTGGCGGTATAATATTAAGAAATGCCTATCAATATGAATTAGCATTAAGTGTCATTTTAATTAAGTAGAATACGTTATAAAATATCTTCTTTTAAATATTAATTTCTCCTCTATTTAATACTTTCTTTACATATAGTTTTTTGTATTATTCTTATTATTTTTGAAAATTTTTTGACGTGTATGTCTATGTTCTGATAACTTCTAAGATTTCTTGATTTTTATTCTTATGAATTCTTTCTAAAACATTTTAATTAGATAATTTGTTAGGTTTTCGGAAACATTTTGTTGGTTTAAAATACTTTCTTGAAGTTATAAGGATGATGATACTCACTGATGATTATAATTTGCAAATTTTTCAAATGTCTTTTGAAACTTGAGAAGATTTTCTACGTCTTTATATAAATGATTTTATAACCGATATAAATTTTTAATATGTAAAATATTCTAGACTAACCACTAATATAGAACATGTCAGTTTTCATTTTTAAAAGCTATAAGTATATTTATATATATACTTTAACTTTTTCCATGTGAGAAGACGCCTTTGTTCAGTAGTGGGCACGGATAGGCTGCCGATGATTTAGAAGATTTACTGATTTTAACTTATACCATAAAAGTAATTTCATATCATCTAATCATAGCTTTAATACTATTCAAAGTTTTATGAGGATTATTTTTATTTTTACTAGATAGTTCTTCACTTTATTTTCACCGTTTCGTACATGGATATGAAATACCTAATAGATATTGTATTGTTGTACGTATTATTGTTTTGAACAGGGATTTTATAATGTTTTATCTCCAGGGATAAATACTTATATATTAATTCTTTTTTAAGCTTTGTAAATGTAACTGTAGTTTTTCACAAACATCTGTCACGTAGTGGTTTTTTTTCCTGAAAATATTTTTTTCCTATTAGAACATAAGAATGTTTTAGCACAAGCAAATGTTTACAATGACAATAAATACTATCAGTGGAACATATATCTGTAAATTAAACATAAACTGAGACTAAATATGTATTGATAAAACGCGATATATTAAATTTACTACGACGAAGAAATTGAACTATTTTACCATAAGTTTTTAAGAAGTCAGTGGTGGCCTAGTGGTTAAAAGGCCCGCTTCTTGTGCATGAGGGTACGAGTTCAATCCTGGCAAGTACCAATGTGATTTTTCCGAGTCATAAGTACTTTCTAGGAGTAATTAGACAACACTGACAGACGGTGAAGGACAACATCGTGAGGAAACCTGGACTTATAATTTCACAATTATAAGTTTGAAATCGCCAACCTGCCTGAGCAAACGTGGTGATTAATGCTCAAACCTTCTCCATGTTAGAAGAGGCCTTACAGCAGTGGGCTCTGATAGGCTGACGACGATGATGATGAAAAAATTGCACTAGTCTACCAAAAGTTTTTAACCGTCAAATTAAATGTAAACAGTCATTTTAAATATTAAGAAAATGATCAAATTATATTATAATTTATGTTATAACATAATGAAAAACAGATTTTATTTGTGTTTTGTTGGTTACAATCTCCTTATAAAGTAGGTACTATCACTTGGAGTGTTTTTTTATGTCATTAGACACAATTTTGTTTATTTCATTTATAAATACCTAGTATTCAGAAAAACGTGAAACATTAAGTATTAAGAATAAAAGACGTCAAAACGGAAATACATGAAATGTTTCAGTAGTTTGATAATATTGTTACTTTTGACGTGATATTTTTTCTATGAATAACTTTATTTAAATATTGATACAAGTATGATTTACTGTTTATAGAAGAGATTTCTAGAAAAAAATTGTAGTAAACAAAATGTTGGGTTGAAAGAATTGATAATAAACTTTTATATAGTTTTTAATGTACATATCTTCTTCTTCTACCTGGCAATTTCCCAGCTTTAGCCAGGGTCTGCCTTGCATGTTGTGAATAGTTTTGGCTTATTGTTTTTACGACCGGCCGCCTGCCTGTAAACATATATATGTACATATGTTTATATGCTAACATATGAGATAATTATTTGTTTACTCAAGAAAATCTTATAATTGGG